ACAGATAAGTGTGCTGGACGCCCAAGGATGCGGTTTCCACGCCGTCAAACACCTACCATAATTAGCAGCTCCCCTATTCGTCACCGATGGTCGTATTTGGTGTGCGGTGTGTTCGATCGTACGCACCCGAGTCGCTTATTGTCGTAATTTCTTTACCGTTGTTAATTATTGACGCGAAGGTTTCGTGAGTTAGTACTTTGTCCTCGGGTTAACTTCACTGCGTCTGAATACCCCGCTGTGTATGTGGCTATATTTGTCGCTTTGACGAGCACTCTAGTTTTTAGACCACCAAAATCGTTGCGGTAGAAGAGGAAATCAGGGAACGACATTGAGAATTTTGTGACAGCGTTGAGATGTTCTCTAAATGTGGGCACCTGATCTCGTCCGATGACGACAAAGGTATTATTTACACACCAAGTGACGCAAATGGCCGAGTAATTACCACCTCAGGGGTCGACAACATTGATTAAATTGCAGCAGTTGGTGACTCGAATGCGGCCGGACTAGCAATTATCAACAATAAATGCGGGACTGCTAATTATGATAGATATACAGCTCGTGACCTATCTTATGAAAGGTCACGAACTGTTAACTTAAATCGCTGTAGCGCACGATACGGCCACCCCGCATCCACGGAAGTTATACTGCGTTAAATATACCACCGAGCTTCAAAACAAGGCGTAGTTTGGTTTATAAAATATTATTTATTGACTAAGGAATAACTTATTTTAGGAAAAACTACCAAATCAAAAAATTGGCTGTATGACGCATAACAACAGCATCATATAAATGCTTGAGAAAACCTTGCAGGCAGCATCAATTCGGGAGACAATGTCGTCCGTACTCTGTCCATTAGGCAGCGGCCTCGCCCCGAGGTATTTAAAACTATCTACTTCTTCAAGTTGACGGCCATCAATCCCGAGGGGTGCCTTCTCCTGGTCAGGGATGCAGCTTGAAAAGGCTTTAGTCTTCCCATTAATTATGGATAAACCGACCGATTTAGCGATCTCGCGATCACCCCTGACACCATAGACTGCAGGTCACCAAAACCTGAAGCAAGTAAGGCGATATCATCGGCATAGTCGAGATCCATCAGCCGGTGTCCGGGTGCAAAATCGACGTTGTCACCTTCGTGTAGGGCTCTCCCTAGGATCCAGTCAATAGCATAGTTGAACTAAATGGGCGACAGAATACAACCCTGTCGAACGCCAACCGAATACCGAACGTTTGGTAAAGATTGTTGCGGGCCAGGACTCGCGCGGTGGTGGAGCAATAATAGGCCTTGATCATAGCGATTATTTTTGCCGGCACACTATCTAGCGCCATTATCCGCCACAGGGACTCACGATGAACGCAGTCGGACGCGGCGGCAAAGTCAATAAAGCAGACGGCCGTCGGTTTTTGGTAGCTATGGCGAAATTCGAGAATGCGCCTCAGTGTGAATATCTGGTCTGCACATCCACGTCCAGCGCGAAATCCGACTTGATTGGGCCTCGTCCTTGAGTCACGCACAGCCTGGGATCGTCTGAGTAGGGCAATAGCGAAGATCTTCGCAGCAACGTCGATGAGACTTATGCCGCGGTAGTTCTCGCATCTCGTCTTATCTCCCTTCTTGAGGATAGGTACAAGGATGCCTAAGCCCCAGTCATCAGGAACAACGTCGTCCCTCCACGTTCGTTCAATCACCTCATGGAACCAGGGCGTCAGTGCCGACACAAGACTTGAAGATTTCAGCGGATATACCGTCCTCTCCGGGTGCCTTATTGTTGCGCAACTTTCGTATGGCATCGGCGACTCCTTCCTCAGAGGGGGGATCGCATGGCACTGCATAGGTAGGAGAGGGAAGAAACTCCGCTGAGGAGGAGAACAAGGACGATGTAGGTTGGGTATCGAAGTTCAGATGGGGCACAAAGTGCTCACGCCAGCACTGGACTTTGGCCGAGTTGTCAGCAATAAGACCGCCATTCACGTCGCGAACAGAGTCACTCAGTGTAGAGGGCTTACCGTTAAATTGGCGGATAAGTTGGTAGAGTTTTCGAGTGTCACCAACGTTCGAGGCCTGTTCCATGGATGTCGCTATTTCAGCCCAATATTGCTTCCGGTCATCCCTGGCCGATTTTGCCGCCATCTTCCGAAGTTGGCGGAAGCAGTCATCGTTACGGAACCTGGCTCGAGCCGTCTGAGCAGACAACTCCAGGGTTCCTCCGTCGATCCAGTCACTGCGGCGTCGCTGGGCGTATCCAAGGATTTTCTCAGCTGCCCCATAGACTGACGTCTTCAGTGACGACCACTGGTTACAGCCTTCTCCGTCGGCTCGGATCGTAAAACAGGTCCCGATTTCTTTGCCCAGGGCCTTGGCAGTGCTGATTTGCCGGATTTTTGCGACATCGAGGCGTCTAGGACGTGACATTTTTGGCGCGGATAAGAGATGGACTTTCAAACGCGTACGGACGAGAACATGGTCCGACCCATGGGCGTTACCAGTCTCGGCACCACACATCAATGTGCTATTGTGAACTCATCAGTCGAACCTTGAGCTGACTAGTATGTAATCAATCTGACTGGCCGTATGGCCGTCGTTTGAATGCCAGGTTAGCAGTTGTTTTTTGCAATGCTGGAAACATGTGTTGGTGACAATCAGTCGATTCTGATCAGGGAAGTTCAGCAAGCTCTCACCGTTTTCACATCGGGAACCAAACCCAAAGCGGCCAAGAAGGTGACTGGTTGTGGGGTCGCCAGGTCCATTTCGACCATTCCAATCGCCAGCCACAATCAGCAGATCGCGGCGAGGCAGTCTTTCAACTAACGCTTACAACTGCGAGTAAAACGCCTCTTTATCGTGCTGTTCGGCAGCCGAAGTTGGTGTGTACACAGAGACGATTGAGATGTTCGTGAAGTGCTCCTTCAGTCGCACGTAGACCATCCGGTCATTGACTGGTTCCCAAGCAAATAGCGCGAGGTCCGCTTGTTGCGATAGGGCGATCGCCACACCGTGTCGACCAGAGGAGTCGCGCGGGACACTGTGGTACAAGGTAATATGTGCTTCGACTCCAGGGATCTTTATTTCGCGGCAGCCTGAGTCAGGGAGTCGAACTTCAGACAGACAGCAGACACCAACGTTGTACTGATCAAGGCCGCGTGCGATCAGACTTTGGGTACCGGGGCCCAGGAACGTTCGCACATTCCAGCATCCAATACCGAGAGTCCGTCCCCGATTGAGTAGTCCATCTCGCATACTATTCACCCGCACCACCGGACCAGGGTCTCGGAGCGCGTCGGTTCCCGCGGACGCCGTAGCATGGGTCGTAATACTGTGATCGGACATATTTCATGAGGTTTCTTGGGAATTTCGAATACGGGCGGGTCCCCAACAGCCGCTCGGATTGTTTGTTCGAGGTTGTCTCCTCTAGCGCTTTGGCTTAAAAGCCTAACCACAAGGCAGCGGTGGCAAGCAAACTTATTTAATAGTGGTTTACGGTCGCCATGTCACAATGCCGTCATTGGGTTTTGCGGCTTTTCATAAGGCTGTCAGCGCGCCAGACCTCAGCCCACCGCACCATGGTAGCAATGTCGCTGCTGGTCCGCGAGTGCTTATTCGCCAGACCTGGGCCTGCTTATTTCGGCAGCTACCCTTCACTGAAGGCCGTCCCACTATCGGCCACCTGTGGACGCGCCGGGTAGTCAGCAGCTAGGCTAACGGGCAACCCGTCTTCCCGGCTGTTGATCTCGCTTTATCATGCTTCCTTTCTTCTGTATGACTACCGGGTGGGGTTTGCTCGGCTTGACAGACACGTTCTAGAGTAGGCGCACTCCAAACTGCAGATTTCCACTGTAACGAGGTACAGAAAGCGCATATACAATATCGGGCGTGGTCGCCGGATCCTGAACCCGAGGTTTCACAGTTAAACCTGAACGACTGGGGAAGGCGACGCATTATGATGGTACCTAATGGTCACGAAACAACTGGCCCTGTGGTTATCTCAGCACCAAAGTATTTAATTTGAGCAGGACTGCCGATTTATGTCGCATGACACGTCTAGGACCGGACCCAATGGCAGTCAAGTTAAATTCCGACGGTACACGTAAGTAGGTGTCTCTAACCTAATATCACCTCGTCCGTCCAATCATACACGACCATGCACACGCACAGATGACCCCAAACCTAACGCAGTCGAATTTTCACTTCTGTAAGACAGTCTCGTCCACAACAGCCTACTACTTCCCCACAGGGGAGATTCGAACAGGACCCCTCAGAGATGCACTCCCAACATCTATTAACTTTCATCAACTTACTTTGTCAATTGCCCCCTCCTCCCCCCCGCTACTTTTATTTTTGCAAAGATGAACGCGCGACCGCTGGGACAATACGTGTACGGTAGATGTCCAACGATGGGCGATACCTACGCCGAGCTCTGCAGAGATACGTTCCGTTGATTCTGACATTCTGCATGTACTGTAGGGGGTGCCAGAGTGTTGGTGGTTCTCCTCCGTTTGTTCCCTGTGGGCACATACGGAGGCAACGGCTGACAAATGTGTTTGGGTATTCATTCCTTGCAAGTTGGTCTCGAAGATGCCGTAGTCCTCGTACTCGTCCCCCCCCCCCGGTTCACTGCAATGCGTTTCTACCTTTTGGCAAAGTACCCTAACACAGCCGCGGTTATGCATGATCGGGTGACTGCTATGGTAGTTAAGAATCTGCGTTGCGTGAATTGCCTTTCTATACACTGTGCTGCTAAGCTCTGCGTGTGATGAGGACGTCAAGGAAAGGCAACTGTTCGGCATTCTCTTCTTACCTTGTCAGCTGAGTGTCGGGCAGGATGCCGTTAAGCAGGTCTTGAAAGTCTACTAGTCCGGTTCTTTCAATTATAACGCATCGACGCCAAAACGCAGGTTTGTAGTGGTCTGAAGCAACTTTTTCCTGCCCTCGTAAAACCAGTTCTACAAAGAGGCCGGGTATCGAGCTAATACATGTCCCAGTGATCGCGCGTTCATCTTCTTTGAGACAAGAATCCGAGACTCGCATATTAGTTCCCAATCTTCTTTTTGTTTACAAGAGCCCATGAAACTAAGCGAGGCAGGTAGAACGTCAGTCTGGACCATAGGCACGGCCTATAGTTGGGAACCGTCACTGACCCTACTCTTTCCATCCCTAGGTCCCTTCCGGTACCTTGATCTACACGGAGCCGCCGCCCTAGTCGAACGAATGGAAGAACTCCGCCGCCATCTAGGAGACTACTTCAAGCCCTGTGATCTGCTGCTCGCGCACGCAAAGGACCCATCGAAGAAATTCCATCCCACGGCGTAGTGGCCAGCCCTGACCTCCGCTTGCATCCCACCTAACCGGTCAATTTCTACTCAGGACACCAAAGACTCTTGCAGTCACCTTTCTACCTCATTTTTCAATCTTTATCCGTGTATTAGACCATTTGGACTGGAGAATACAGGTTATGAGCTTTTTGTGTTTCATTGCATTCAATGACTGTACACGAAGTCTGTCGGGGCGGGGTGGCGTTGCAACACTCCAACCAAAGCATTGACATGTTGCGATTGCGAAGACCGGCGGTGTTATGAGCGTTGAACAGACACGGTGAACGAAATGAGAAATCCGCTTGGTATCTAGACCACCACTGCACTTGAATTGTCTGCTCACATTGAAGCGGTGCGCCGGGTTTATTGCCGGTGTGCCGTAGCGTTGTTTGCATTTAGCGGTGCCCGATGTTGGCGGACTTCGTCTCACAAGATGCTGCAGTCCGCACTCTCTGCGACTATATCGCGAAGATGTCTTAGGTTATCCAGGAGAGACGGCTTTGGGACGTTCGCTATCGTCCGCCTCACGAGCTCAGTGTTACTGCCTGTCGGTTCGCCGCCGTTATCCACCAGAAGATGTAGGAGGTAAGGTCAACTCAAGATCGAGGTCGACACAGACATGGAATGGTTTTTAGACATTCGTTGTTTGGTCACAGTCGCTGGAGAAGAAAGTGGGTCGGGCCGTCCGTATCCGCTGCCGCAGATCGTCGCGCGAGGATACGATGCATGGCATCATTGGGGCCGGCATGGTCACAGCTGTATCGAGTGAAGGTAAGATGTCAACAGAAGACTGATAATGGTAGGAAGTGCTCACCGATCGTTCATACGGAACTCACTCGTTCCGTTGTGCCTTAAGGGCTCTCTCTCTCGAGCCCAACCAGCAGCCGCACAGCGGCGCATGATATATAGGCAGAATGAAGAAGAGGGGGCGTTCACCGGGAGGGGTTTATTTGAGATCCGACGTTTCGGGTAGTTTATTCGTCTACCCATCTTCAGGGACTGGGAGGTCCTGTGCACAGCATTCCTTATTATGGCGCCCTTTGTCCAATGCGTGATCCGCCAATGCCGCCTGAGTGGCTGCATCCAACCCGCATGTCACCATGACCTGAATCGCCCCCGTCGGCCGCGGTGATGACTGACGGCCCCGATTGTCCCGCGCCGTGACTGTCCCCCGCTAAGAAGGTTCGTAAAGTCAGATAGGGGGGAGGCAAATTGATGTGGCGGTTGACAGAGCGGTCGGGGGACATCCAGGCTTCTTGCACTTGCCTTGCTGTGTGATCGCTGCCCCGGCCCACAATCTCAACGGCGTCAAAGTTGAAGATGTGTCCCATTTGCGCGGCATGGGTTGCTACCTCCGACTTTGGGTCCAACCTTCGCACGGCCAACTTATGCTCGTGCGTTCGCGTTTGCAGCCGTCGGCCGGTTTCCCCAACGTAGTTGCAACTTCCGCAGCTGCATTGAAGTCGGTAGACAACGGCCCACATCTCCTGCTTAGGGATCGGATCTTTCGGCCGCATCGCTTGCCGGCGGATTGTTGAGTCAGGCCTGTGGGCAACACCTATTCCGAGTGGCGCGAGTGATCGAGCCACGACTTCGGAGACCCCTTTAATGTACGGAATGCTCCGCCACGAGTTTGGCTGACTATGCTCTTCGTTCCGTTTCTTTGGCTGTGCACAGGACCTCCCAGTCCCTGAAGATGGGTAGACGAATAAACTACCCGAAACGTCGGATCTCAAATAAACCCCTCCCGGTGAACGCCCCCTCTTCTTTTGATATGCCACCTGGGAATCGAATTTTCACTACTATTGATAGGCAGAATGGCATTACCGACAAAGACAAGGGAGACTGGAATGGCCATTTCTGGCTTATTAGCCGTCGTCAGCCAGTCATACCCAAGATACCATAGATCCCAAATGGGTCGTGCGCGAAACAGATGGGCAGGGGTGAGGTGAAGGACCCTAATTAGCTGTCGGTATACGATGGATCGTGTCGTACGGAAATGGTATGGGGCGGGGGCTGCCGGCGGGGTAACACGCCAGACAGGAAGCCTAGTGTCCAAAAGTCGGGCGAAACACCCCTTCCCCCAGAGCGTTGTCTGCCGGTGAAGCTATCACCACATTTTGGCCTTCGGTGATAACCGAGGGGGAGAAGAGGGACTGGCTAAACTTCACGATATTGGATGGCTTTACTACGGGGGTTCGTTGTAGTCGTGACGTGCAGAGTGCATGGTCCCAGGAAGACGCCGAAGGTGAGATCACCGAGGGCGGCGACCAACAAACGACTCCGGAGTAGGAAGAGAAGCTGAACACCAGCAGAGGAAGAGTATATTCCGTACAGAATGGAGGAAAAAGTCTGCGGCCAGAAGAGAGGCGCGCGTCCGTCACCGCCGAGGCCGGTCTGCATCAGTCTAGAAACTGATTGGCTGGTTTTGGTAGCTGTGAATGGCCTAGAGCCAGAAAGAGCCCCTCGGATTCAGAGACTCGACGGACGGCTTCGGAATGCCAGATGAACGACTGTTGTCGGTGCGTAGGTGTTGCGGCAGACGCCCGGGGAATCGCCACGAAGGCTATCAGCCCCTTCTATCTCTCCAGCAATTTAATACTAACAAGCTAAGTCCAACGATGTTGAAAACTCCTGGGTAACACCTTGGATTCCACAATGTTGCGTCGTGGAGGACTTAGTTAGAAGACAGCGATTTTTAATTGAGCGGTTTATTTGCACAGGTGGAATTCTGAAATGCATTAGAAAAATAGGGCCTATAATCTCAGCGTAAAGCAGATACAGAGGGTTTCGGAAATGCTTGAATCATTCCTTATCAAAACGGACAATCAGTCCATTATCGCCGACGGCCACAAGAACATTTCCATCGTTGGCAAACCGAGTTTGGCGTATGGCACCAAAGTTGCTGGCTCCTCCGACTTCTCGAACACCGGTTACACACACGTTCAGAGCCTTAAAGTAGAAAACGAAGGCGCGCACTCAAACACAGTTGGTCGCAATCACAGCTAATCTAGGAGCAAATAAATGCTTACCTTGGGAGTTAGAGTAAAGGCAGATTCCGGATGGGACAAATCCCAAATGTAAATGCGCAAAGGGCCAGTGCCAGTTCCGAGCGCAAGAAGCCTATTTTCGAGGTCCAGATCGAACCGTATATACCATAGGTTACAGTCGGGTATCTTGAGTTGGTGCAGAATGCTGCAGTGGTGCTCTGTGGGGACACCAGTCATGGAGGTGATTCCGCCGTTCCGCTTCGTGTGGCCGACGCTCTTCAGTCGAGTTGGCAGTATCAGACCGTTCACACGGTCTGACCCACCACCACCACCCGGAGGAGTATCCAGACTTCCCGGTTTCCAGATCACCACGCTGTTCTCGCAGGACTTTGAGATGATCAGAGAACCGAACCAGCGCGCGCAGTCGACATAATTGCCATGCGCGTCGCGTGAACTGAACTCGGGGAAGTGCTGAAGCAACGTGGGGAAGGGTCTACAAGTGATGAGGCGAAAATACCATCAACTACGGGATGGGGGAGAGGGGGGAAGAGACGATAAGCTTCGGAAGTCGTGAAGATGTCGCGAAAAGCCTCCGCTGAGCAGACTATAATCAGACTCAAGTTTCTCTTGGAGACAGCAGCGCGTGGGAATATACATACAGTACGTAACCTAACTCTCGAAACGCGATGGAGAGAGTTGGGATGTACATGGGTTGTACGATGCATCATAATGGATAGTACAAGTACCAGTCAAAAGCTCAGACACGCGTGTATCGCCGATGTTCTGCCGCTGAATGCCACAGTTGTTAGGAGCTTCGGCTCATCAGTGGGCCCCCAGCGTTCCCTATATACTTTCAGGTAGATACACCCGTTTTGAAATTGCAGCTTTTCAAGTTCCTCAGAAATTGATCGCCAACTTGGAGTAGATGAGTCTACTCGAGACTTATAGAGTCAGACTGAAATTTGAGGTGAATAGTTGAGCTGATGTCCATCAGTTAGAGCGGAATAACCGCATAAGACTCAAGCTACCGACAATAAACCAGTATTATGTACAGGGGTCTCACGAGACAGTATACTTGACAGCATACTCGAGATGATCATTTTTAGCACCTAAAACGCTGTGCACTTTTTCTATTCGCCTTGCCCGTTTAAGAAGACAACCGTTTCATGAAGAATATGTTTTGTGGCAATTTTATCAGGCAAAATGTTTGCAAAATTTGGGCGAAAATCTACGTTATTTTCTATTTGGGTAATAGCTTGGACCAAATTCGCACCTCCGTGGGTGTTTCTTTATGGGAGAAGAGTAAGTAAACGGCGAACTTTGCCAAACAAAACTTGCCAAACCTGAAAATCGGTTTTTGGCCCGCGTAAGTCAGGTGAAGCAGGATGGGAACAGATGTTTTATCGGTTTTTGAAAGTCGGATTTCTAAATCTGTGCCATTTCACGCCCTAAAAAGCTGTAATAATGCCTATAGGCAATTTAATGTTTAAACATACCGAAATTTTCCCGTAGTTTACGAATATAGCACAGGAAAACATGGAAAGGCCCATCGAGAAATGGATATTTTAACTGTTGAGCATTTGGCAGGACCTTTTTTACGCGCTCTAGTTTCTGCCAACACGCAATTTAGAAATAGAACGGACAGGACACCATCAGTTTGGGCTACATATTAATACTTATATGGCCACCCCGTTGCGCACTTATAACCGCAAAATGAGTTCTCAACGTACATAAAGATATCCAAAATGGCTCCGATACGAGGGAGGTGAGTCTTTTCATTTGCAGTTGAAAAAGCATCAGTATTTTTGGGGAGGTGAAAAAGCCGGCCAAAACTTTAACTACTTTTTTCGACTTTACCTCGGAAAGGGATAGAGTCCGTGGACATCCGTCAGCGCAATGCCTTATTAAAAAGCTTTTTAAGGCGGTAACTTATAAGAAAGTGTTCCTCCATTAGCCAGAAGCACATTCATCGCCGACTGTCGTTATGGACGTCCATGCTTTTTAAAGTGAGTTTCCATGTTTGAGTGAGTCTTTAAATATGACCCTAACGACCAGAAATAATGTCTCGGAACTCACTGCTTCGGTAAATACTTTCAAAGAATACTTTATTTTGATGGTTTCGATAAACACACCGCACAGAACTCATTTTTGTGGACAGTCGATTGAGAACACTGAAATCCGCAGAAGATTCAGACATTTCAAGAACACTCTGAAAGCCAATGAACTCCACCGTCACCAAAATGAGCACGGATGAAGAAACATCCTGGTACACCCAGAATGGTATGCTTATGATTGCATGTGTTAATTCAAATTTCTTAATCACTGACCGGCCTGTAAACATGCGACCTCATGAAAACTCCTATTTCTGTAGCGTATCCGTCAGCGAAATCCCCTTGATTTGATCACCTGCATCTCGAGCGAAAAGAAATGAAAAAGTTGCATCGGGCTCTCGCACGAAGCTTCTGAAACACATTACCAAAATTTACGTACTTAGCTATGTGCCAGATTGCACATAATACTAATTCTCGGAGGATGCTTACCGGGAATGTACGTAACGAAACCGTTTTTTAAAACGTTGCTGTGTTTAAGTCGTTTTATTTATGGATAGGCTTTGTGTGCTTCCAAAACTGGAGTCTACTTATTCGGCACGAATTTTCGCCCTTCCGGTCTACTTAAGAAAATGGTCATTCCTAATTAACGAGATAGTACTTCAAGTATTTGCTTCGCGTCTCCATTTACCAGAGGTCGTTCATGATCAGTTTGGTGCTTTGGTGGATGCATTTTGACTGGTTGCCGATTGATAGCGCACTTCGTTATTTTGGGCATATTTCATGAGTTCGGTCACCTACTGTAAGTTGCTGTTCTGTCTTAAGTGGCAATAACGACTTGCACATGAACTTTCTCATAATGAAGCAGACTTCCGATGCTTCTACCTCACTCTCCACTATGGCTTATGAATCAAAATAAAAAGGTGTACTTAGAACATTAAAGTAGGCACAATTTTTGGATTAATTACTCACTTGGCCGTAGGCGTAAAAGAGTTGATAATGGCGTTTTTCAGCTCTGGCGAGTCGAGACGCCAAATCTTGACTGTATGGTCCATACCGGCGGACAGAAGGAGGTCTCCAGTCAATGAAAGGTCACCATACAGCACTTCAGAACGATGACCCTCAGCTCCCCCAAAAATGCATACAGGCACGTGGGTTGCAATGTTCCACAGGCGGATAGTGTAATCTAGAAAACGGTAGACACATAGTTTGCGTTCAAGGACGAAACGTTCAACAAAAAAGCCTCATGCTAACTCCAGCCACATACACTGCGCCGGGTAGAGCCGCAAGATTTCCTTCTATTCGCGCATTGGCTCGCGTAGTCTCGAACCAGGCGGTGGCGGGCCTCCTCAAGCACGTAATCTACGGTCGTTAAAGCAAGGTCTGGACTGCTGTTTGGTAAGGGATGGGGGAATCTGGTGGTAGATGTAAAAGGTGTCCAAAAGTTTCACTGTAATTGATGGCTCAGTTGGGTGTGAAACGGCCACTGCGATGGACGGTTTAGCCGGCTGTCATGCGGACAGGACGGACAAAGAGTAGACTTCTAGTAGATGACGAGTCGAGGTAAATGACAGTTTGGAGCTTCGTGCATAAACCCAGGCGCCGTAGCTGCCACATCGACGGCACGTTGAAATCGCAAATGCCGCAAGGGTAGACATGTCGAACAAGTTTGCTCATTGTTACGTTATATTATATGAACTGCAGCAGCGTTAGGATTCGGGCTGGTTTACTTTTTTCTCTCTCCTCCTCCTCCTCCTCCGCCTCCGTCACCACCATTAGAAGTCTCACAGTTGCGACTCTGAGTCTCTGATAGTCCGGCAACGGTGTAGCGTCGTCAATGATAATAACCTCTCCTAGCCTTCCAGTTACTAGTAGAATGGGGAGGGGACGCACTTCTTGACCTTGAGTTCCTTCACACATACGATCTTTTACAACGCAGAGTTCTGACACAGTGAAGCAGCAAAATATCAGGAGTAACTGAAAGTTTGAAGCAAGCATGGAGAGCAGAATTTATTGGAACCAATAAATTTCGCGACGGCTTATCAACTGCAGCCTGTCGTTGCATAAGAGAGATAACAAATGAGAAAGATGCAGAGATTTGAACCTCTCCAGATAAAATCAATATCAACCAGCAAAGTCATCGTATACTGTATGCGGACTAATCAATAAAGTGGCAACTTGAAAACACAACTTAGGATGGAAAACGGGAAAATTAGCACGCAGAGGGGTTGCGCAAATCAACGCACCTCCTACATAGCCGTCATTCCGTTGACCCTAAAACATCTTTTCGAGCATTAGTTGGGGCACTAACAACTCGAAGACTGCGCTACTTGGAGGCAGCCTATATACGGCAGGAGAAACCAGACCTATGCGAACAGTCAGACCACGTGGTCAACCTCAGCTTGCCCTGGTAAATCTCAGCCCTTTGATTTGCGCAACCCCTCTGCGTGCTAACTTCCCCGTTTTCTTTTCTAAGTTGCGTTTTCAAGTTACTATTTTATTGATTAGTCTGCGTGCAGTATACGATGATCTTGCTGTTTCATACTCATTTTATTTGTGGAAGTTCAAATCTCTGTATGTTTCTCATTTGCTATCTCTCCTATGCAACGATAGGCTGCAGTTGATGAGCCGTCGCGAAATATATTGGTTCCAATAAATTCTGTTGTGCCATTACCGACAAGGGCAAGGAAGACTGGAATGGCAATTTCTGGCTTGTTAGCCGTCGTCAGCCAGTCATACCCAACGCCGAAGTGTGGAGCACCCGAGGCTCGAACTCGCGACCTATTAGTAAGAAGTCCGCGCCTCTAACTACTGGGCCACGAGCCCGTTGCCCTGTCGGTTTCGATCGGGAACATACAATGGTAGGGGGTGCTCACCGATCGTTCTTACGAAACTCACTCGTTCTAACGTGCCTTACGAGCCCTGTTATCTATGCTTGCTTTAAATTCATACCTGAGAAATAGTGCTTCAGGTCTACTTAAAAGTCTACTAAAGCAGCAGCAGCAAGAGACCACTAGTTACAAACCTTTGCTAAAGGAAAAGAGTAGGGCAGGATCCTTGGGATGGAACTTGAGCTCGTTGATTGCCTGACCATGACCAACCAGACTGGCCGGACAGTTTGCTAGGCTGGGACAGAGGATGCGGATGATGCCGCGTTTTCCAGCGACTGCTAACAGCTGCTGATAAGGCTGTAGAAAGTGATCGGGGCCAAATACGATCGAGTCAGTGACCGGCTGATGCTGGTGAGGCTTTGGTCGTTCCTGTTGAGTTTCACTACACTCAAGCCACCAGCAACGTGGCAGGCCGTTACCCGGGGAGACGGCATTGGTGTCTCGGGACCAGGCGCAGGTGTAGAAGTCCTCCTCTTCCCCGGCAGGATCGGAGAAAGACTGCAGCAGGGTGATGCATGAGCTGCCATCAGCTCCGTTGGTATCCAGATCTTTACACTGATAAATTGTGACCTTTTCAAGTGCAAAAGCAAGTCGCACAAGTAATCAAGGCAGAAAACAATGCATGACCTATAAATACAGGAATCCAGTCAAGACGGGGGTGAGGGTGGCTACGGAAGCGTGATATGACAACGAGGCAGACTCTTGACCGACGACGATGTCATTTTTAACTTTACTCTGTATAAATGCACAAAAAAGGTGGGCGAGAGGTGGACGGAACCACTATGGGATTTATTACAAATGCTCAAATGGGCTGCACCGCTGGTAAGCGTGCGCTGGGTACACGAACATATCGATCATATGTGCGACACGCGTTAGGAGTAAGCTTACGCCATGTTTGTCAAGATGCCTTCTTCTCTCGCGCTCCAGGGAAGAGATCGCGGACGCAAACATTGAGGCTGTGCAACAATGCCGCGACCAGAGTGGGCGGCATTACAACTAATGTCATGTGTCCGCACTCTGGCGTCCCGTTAACTCGCCTGAGTTAGCGGGCATGGGGAGACGAAATCGTCCATAATGACTGTGGTTCGACCGACAGAGTGCAAGAACTACCACGTTCTCAGGCTATGTGAGGCAGAAGAAAAAGCAGTAGATTCATCCGACGAAGCTGCAATGACTGGATCGACAGAAGAACCCTGCAGATGTCTGCCCGGACAACGCAAGCCAGACTCAACAACGATGATTTGTCCTTGTCGGTAATAACATACTGCCTATATCATGCGCCGCCGGTTAGGCTCGAGAGAGAGAGAGCCCGTAAGGCACAACGGGACGAGTGAGTTCAGTAAGAACGATCGATGAGTGTCCCCTATCATTGTGTATTTCCGATCGACACCGACAGGGCAACGGGCTCGTGACCCAGCGGTTAGAGGTGCAGACTTCTAACTAACGAATCGGGAGTTCGAGCCTCGGGTGTTGCACACTTCGGTGTTGGGTATGACTGGCTGACGACGGCTAATAAGCCACAAATGGCCATTCCAGTCTCCTTTGTCTTTGTCGGTAATAACATACTACCAACGATGATTTCTTCCACCAACTCCGGAAAATAACGGAAAAGTCGATTAGAGATGACTGCAAAAGTACTGTGTTGAGTAAGTGACCTCTACAGTGCAGGCCTTAAACGTTGGTGGCAAGTGAAATATCTACCAACTTGTCCACCAAGTCAGTGGTCAGCCCTCTGCATTCGAACAAGACTGACAACTCGGCCAATGTCGAGCGCTGCCGCGAGCACATCCAGTATCCTTTGAACTCCGATGACCATCCCATTGCACCCTGGTTTTCCCCTGCCTCTGAAAGTTGCGTCTCTCTAGCTTAGGCCGTGTCAAGTGACACCCCCTCGCGGGGGGGAAATCCACGATGCAATAGTGAAGCTGAGCAACAACAAGTCCGCCCGGAGAGGACGATTTTCCTACTGAAAACTACAAGTCCCGCATTAACATTTTGACGGCCTGGCTCCATGAGGCGATTAGGCAAGCATAGGGAGGTCAAGTCATTCGGTCATCCTTGTGCTGCGAAATAAGCAGACTCTCAGCTCCGGCGAATGAGCAGCTGCGGATCGGCAGCGACAGTGCAAGTGCGGAGAGCACGCCGACAGCCTTATGAAAGTGGTGCAAAGCCCGATGACGGCAGAGACATGGCGACCTTCAACCGCCATTAAATAACTTTTGCTTGGCACCGATGCCTTGTAGTGAGGTTTTTAAACCAAGGCGCTAAAGGAGACAATCTCGAACAAATAATCCGTCTGTACCCACATTTCCCAAGAAAATATGTCCGAATACAGTACTACGATCCGTACTACGGGGTCCGAGGGAACCGACGGGCTTGGCAACCGCGATTCAGTGGTGCGGCCTAATACTACGTGAGCTGGACAACTCAATCGGGAACAGACCCTAGGTATTGGATGCTTGAATGCACAGACGTTTCTGAACACTAATGCTCAAAGTCTGACGGCGCGCAGTCTTCATCAGTAAGATGTGAATGTCTGCTGCCTGTCTGAAGTCCGAATTCCCGACTCTTGTGCTCCGCAAATAAATGTCCCGGGGGGTTAACTCATACTTCACCCTGTACCCCAGGCGACTCTTTTGGTAGACACGCTGTGGCGATCACCCTCTCGCAACAAACGAACCTCGTTTGACTTGCTTGGGAACCAGTCAATGAGCGGATAGCCTATGTGCGACTAAAGGGTCACTTTATGGACATTCCTGTCGTCTCCTTATACGCACCCACATCAGCTGCCGGGCAGTGCGGTAAAGGTATTTCCTACCCGCAGCTGCAGGCGTTGGTCGGAAGACTTCCCCGTCGTGATCTGCTGATTGTTGCCCCCCGACTGGAACGGCCGAGGGGGACCTGGCCGTCGTCTTATTGGCCGCCCTGGGCTTGGTTTGCGACGCGACAATGGTGAGAGAGTGCTAAGCTTTGCTGATGGAAACCCGACTACTTGTCACCAACACGTGCGTCCGGGATCGCCACAAACATCTGCTGACCTGAAACTCAAATGACGGTCATACGGTCAGTCAAATCGATTACATTCTAGTCAGTTCAAGGTGCCGCAGCTGAGTTCACGATAGTAGGTCGATGCATGGTGCCAAAACAAGTGGCGCCCATGGGTCGGACCATGCTCCCGTTCGCACACGTTTTAAATTTTATCTCTCATCTATATCCAAAACGCCGCGTGCAAGATGCCTTGATGTCGCCAAACTTTGACAGCCCAACAACACCGAGGCCCTGAGCAGAGAAATCGGTCCTGGTTTACGACCCGGACCGATGGAGATGGATGATTCGAGTAGGAATCCGAAACGTCAGGCTAATAAAGCTCTTGTCCCGGCGATCGTGTCTCCTTCTTCAAGTAGCAAGTGGTCATCATTAAAGTCATCGGTTTATGGGGCAGCTGAGATAATTTTTGAATACACCTAGTGACGCCGAAGTAATCGGATCAGCGGAAGAATCTTACAGCTGTCCGCTAAAACTGCTCGAGCCAGGCCCGGTAATGATGATTCACTCCACCGACTTCGGAAAATTACGGAAAAATCGGCTAGGGATGACTGGAAGAAATATCCGGCTGAAACAGAGACCTCCATAGAGCAGGTCTCAACCTTTGCTGACACTCGAAAATTGTACCAAATTATCCGTCACGTTAGTGGCAAGCCTTCGACACCGAGGGACTCTGTTCGTGATGAGAATGATGGTTTTATTGCTAACAATTCGACAAAAATCGATCGCCGGTGTGGGCACTCCGAGCATCTCAACTTTGATGTGCAAAGACACACGCCCCTGCTCTCCGCAGCAGAGTTTTATCCTTCTCTAACCTATGCAAAGTCATACGACTTTCCCTTCTGAAGAAGTTACTGATGAAATGGAAAGACTGAGGAACAAGAGGGCACACGGAGAGGACGGTGTTACCGTTGAAATCTACAAGTCTTGTGTCAGCATTATGGTGCCCTGGCTCCGTGAGGTGATTGAAAATGCAGGGAAGGGTGAGGTAGTTCCTGATAGCTGTGGGTCGGGCATCCTTATGACTGTCTTCAAGACGGATGATACGATAAGATGGAGGAACTGCCGTGGTGTAAGCCTCATCGACGTCGCTGCGAAGATCTTTGCCACTGTCCTCAGACGATTTCAGGCTGCGCGTGACTTTAGAACGAAGCCTAACAAGGTCGGATTCCGTGCTGGGCGTGGATGAGCGGACCAGATCTTTAAACTGAAGCGCATTCTAGAATTCTGTCACGGCTACCAGCAACCAATTGCCGCCTGCTTTGTGGGCTTTGGCGCTGCGTTCGATTTCATCCATCGTGAATCCCTGTGGTGAACAGTGGAATTAGATGGTGTGCTGGTTAAAGTAGTCTACTGCGAGAGTTCTCGTCCATAACAATCTCTCCCAACCGTTTGGTATCCGATCTGGTGTTCGACATGGTTGCATCCCGTCGCCAATTATGTTCAACTATGCCGTTGATTGAATTCTCGGAAGGGTACTAAGTGGTTTTGAAAATATGGAGTTCGCACCCGGATGACTATCCTCCGGGTGAAGTACACCGAATGAGTCTCAAAAGAGACGGTCCGCACTCGCTGCAAAAACATTACAAGTATCTCTCAGTCCATTTAAGAAAAACGAATGCGGTAATTTGGACACGTCCTTCGTCGCCTATCCTCACGAGCTCAGTGTTACTGCGCTCCGCCGGGCACAGTTTACTAGTTGGGGGCATAGAAGAGAGGGTCAACTGAAGATCCGGCTCGACACAGTCCGTCACGACATGCAAATAGTCCTCGGACCTTCGGTTTTGGTCTCCGTTGCTATCGAAAAGAATGAGTTGAGCTGTCCAGACTTGCTGCCACGGATTGTCACGCGCGGGGAAGTAATGTCCGTGACATCATCGAGACCTGCCAGATCAGACATGATCGCAGCCATATGAAGCACGAGTAGGTTGTCTCCAAGATGGGAGGTAAGACAATATGCGAGGACCACAGCACCATCATTCACCTTGCTAAGAGGTCGTTCGCTGTTGTCGTCCTCAGACGATCTAAGTGTTAGTGACCCGAGAACGAGATCCAACTAGGTCACATTTCGAGCTGGACATGGATGCGCCGGTCAGATATTCACTGTGGCGCATTCTTGAATTTCGCCATCGGCAACCGACGGTTGCCCGTATCGCTGACTGCGTTGCAGAATTCACCTGCGTTCATTATAATCACCCGCAGTGGAAAATGAAGCTAGACGGTATACCGGCAAAAAATATCGGAGCAGGCAAGGCCCGCTGGCACTTCGTCGCTTCTCGAGTTCTGCTGTACAATTTTTTCCCGGCCGTCCGGTATTGGGTTTGAGGTTTGGCGAAGTTGAATTCTGTTGCCCTGTTTAACTAAATCACTGGCTAGATCCTAGGGACGGGTCTAAACAGTTTCAACGATGTCTAATTTGTACCCGGACGCCAGCTGATTGGCTTTGACTGTACTGACGATATACTTATCTTGTACCTCGCAGAATGTTCATCTTAAGTATGACCTCCGGTTCAACGCGGGCACTAGGCTATCCAATAACCAAACTCATAGGAAGTCTGCTTAGTAAGGGGCTATAGCTTACTATATTCCCTAAATTATAAAATCTACACGAGTGCACAGCAGTGAAATTTGAGGACTTACGTGGTTACCGCCAGCAGTGGCAAAGAGCAAGGGATCAGTTGGCCGGCTGCGATTGGCCGAGTTGAAGGCAAGACCAAAGATAGATTTTCCATGACTCTCCCGGATAAAGGCTGTCTGCTTGAAGTTTACTTGAGGAGGGGGTGACACATCGGCAACGGACTGGAGCGGTAATTCATCAGTCTTGCAACTCTCCACATCATCAGCAGCAGTACTCCGGAAATTTTTTGAAGCGACGTTCGACTTCATTACGTGCGGAAAGCACTGATACTGTCGGCTGATAAAAGAAGAAAGCATGATTTGTGATGTGTGCTATGGGAATACAGTAGGAACTAACAGTGGAATCGAACGGAATTTGCCGATTTGGTATTCAGTTATATTGGAGTGGGGAGCTCTGCAAATACTTGAATTAGTTAAAGTAACTTTGAAGGCACCCTTTTAATGATATATTTCGTTCACTTAGATGGCAACAAAAGGCCCGCTGAGCCGAATATTGTCGCATATGATAGACGACATAGCGCAACGCACTCAAACTCTTGTGATAATTCCCCTAGCAAGAGGAAACTAACTAGGGGTTGATGCCTGAATGTCATTTACAGCAGAATATGTGCCGAAATACGGCAGTTCAACGGCACAGGTGCGGCCTGGGAATAATTATGTGGCTGCAATTTTGTTATATCCCGATCAAAAAGCAAAGCAGCATTAACAAATTTCTAACATTCCCGAAGACACCACAGGTGTTTTGGCAGATTTCGAATAATTCATATTGACCCAACTGTGAGAAACTCAGCGCCTCGGTCGGATTCGAACCCACGACAGCAAGGGGAAGGCCTTATTACAGCCAACGCTCTGGCAACCTGAGCTGCAAGGCCTCACCGGGAGACGTAAGTTTGATCACATTTGGGCCAAATTACCCACCCAATCTACTGCAACGTCTGGAATCCACCAAATCTGTCTCCAGATGTTGCAGTAGGCTGAGCGGGTAATTTGACCCAAATGTGATTAAACTCACGTCTCCCGGTGGGGCCTCGTAACTCAAGTGGCTAGAGCGTTGACTGTATTAAAGACTTCTCCTTGCTGTCGTGGATTCGAATCCCACAGAGGCGCCGAGTTTTTCACAGATGGGTCAATGCGAATACCCGAAGAACGCATTTGGAAAGCAAAAATTCGGGATGCTACAAGCACATATTCGTTCGTGTAGAGGAAAGACTACAGGAAGTCGATACAGTTTCGATTAAAAAATGACTGCTGTCGATAGGAGACTACAGGTAAGTGTCGGTTTTTGCTTAGAAAACCGAACTTAACTACATGAGGAAGCTGAAATGCGAAAATTCTGGATCACCAAGGATGAAATTCGATGTACCGTGAATAAATTAAATGAAAACAGGACGTCTTTTAGTCGGGTTCATCTTGCAGGATGAGGACGCTGACTTCAAGTTTTAAAGCCTTTTTGGCTCCGAGGTCTTTCAAAAAAGGGAGTGGTGTATAAAAAGGACATCAAAAAAATATATAGCATGATTTATTAGCATTCATAAATTTCGCAACTGGGAATTAACTGCTTTCCGTCGTTTCATAACATGGATAACGAGTTAACAGAACACAAGAGAGTGAATTTATTCAGAACATCGATGTGGAAGTGGCGTAGTCGTGCTTCAGAACACGCAGGCTACTCGGTTAAAGTTACTTAAAAACGTGATGGGAGAAAGAAACCACGGTAACGTACAAACGGGTGCGAAAAGCAAAAGGAAAAAATAACCAAAAAATCAGGCTCACTACATGTCATGCTAACATAAGCCCCGGGCTAAATTCCACCTTACCTACTACTTTTCTATTTCTCTTTTCAGTCCCAGTACGTCAATTGTAAGATGAATAAAGCCCTGTTATAGGGTATTCTCGTTCTGACTCTTACAGCCATATTCGTTCGTCCTCTCCATCTCGTGTGCTTGCTACGGTCCTAACTACTACACTACACCGTTAGTGTAAGTTAAGGTTCCTGACTCTTCCGGGTGACTCGGAACGCTCCTTCTGGAGCAGCAGAGTTCTCAATATCTGGGAGGCATTTCACTATCAAAAAACGGGGCTTCGTCTTGTCACTTTTGAAGTCATCTAGGCAGGGGCTTAACTGCATGACTACCAGTTGGCTTTGCGTTCGATCAACATACTTGGATCCACAAATATATGTAAATTTATAAACAGTCTGAGTGAATGCGGTTAGGCAGGACATTCTTTGTCCGTTTGACTAAAACTGTCATAGTGTGTCTGTAAAAATGAGCTGGGGTGAGTTAGAATTTCTTTCATTGATGCTTCGCACTCATGCTGTGAAGCTACAAGATGCAGTTAATAAGAATTCGGGGAATTTCCTACCACTAATAAATCCTCCCCATATGCTTACTTTCAAATGAAAATCAGAAACAGAACGATTTAAACACGAAAAACAGTTATTCCAAAAAATAAAAAGGCGCCTTATGACGCTGGATGAAAAATCGGAACAAGTGCACTTTGTGCGATGAAGAAGGCTAAAGAGGGCAGTACATCCAAAACTAGAAACTCCTGCAGCCACAACATTGAAATGTCCCATATCCTTTGCAAATGTATTTCCTCACTTCTTAAACTGGTTTAGGACCCCATTTCGATTCTTAATAAAGCCCAGCATGGCCGACGAAGGCGATTTATGCCACAAACATCATGCCTCCCGAACAACTTTGCAGTAGTGACAGTCGAAAGCTTGCTTGACAAATTAAGGAAGATAAGTAAATACGGTTAAGTCCAGCGAGTGGATCAAGATATATCCAGGGGTTACATGTCCATCACAATAGCCTGTACGGATCTGCAGATCCCTAATTATCTTCCTCCACGCTTAGGCACGAAACTGTGAACAGGCAAGTGACAAGGTTGTATTTTAGAAGTCGGGGGCCGCAACATAAATGGAATACAAATAAGGAATTCAAACTATAACCACAGTTCTAATTGGTAAACGACATCACGGGAGATACTTATGGAACATTTCGTGCTAGCATAATGGAGTCGGCATCTGTCATGACAGTGCAGTGCATGCCAAATTGTCGATGCAACTGCACGGTAAGCAAGTCGTGGGAGGACAAACGTCAGTTCAGCACACTGTGAAAATGGGGATTTTCCAAAAGCTACGAACTAATCCGCGGAAAAAGCCTCAAGTTGCCAAAAGTACGTCCAACATGTGCACAAAATGTCAACTTAATTTTGCGTGCGCAACACAGCCAATACGTGGTTCGCTATGTTGACATATGGCAAAGGAGTCGTGGGATCATTCTAGTTGACTCCTTCTACCATACAATTTCTGGGATGCACATGTATATAGTACACAGGTAGAGGGGCTGTACCTAGACGCCGGCGCCTTGACGGCCCGCAAGCATAACTTCGCATTGGGCAATCGAAAATCAGCGTAGTAAAACCCACACAGACGTTTCATCAACTTATTACACATTTTCCTGTCCCCCTCAAAGAACTTAATTGTTTACGTTTTGTTTTTGCCAGTCTCTGTTCGATTGCACTCGTTTGGAATTTTTTCCGTTGATTTCACCACTTACGGCCTATCTGGACTCTTGTCTGTATGCTGGAGTGGTTTTCGACAAGTTTGCCTTCTTCGCCGAAATTTTATCCTGACAGACATATTTCAGTACAGTTTTATCTGTTTGCTTGTTGAAATATCTAGGCATGCCTACTCGCTTTTTGTTTTGCGCTTCTTGTCATTTTCCGTGACTTCTGCTCTTATGTATCCGATTGGATTTTGTATGAAGAGCGTATATTTTTTATATAAATTAATGGAACTTGGGGAGGAAGGGGGGGGAGGGTTGGTAAATTGTCCAACAGGACTTAATCTCACGAAGTGCTTTTTATCTTTTGAATTTGAACGTTGCATATAATAAAAGTGAGCCATGAATCCTGTTGGCCTGTTTGCGAGTGGTGGACTTGAATATTCGCCAACCCCAAAAACATAAGAGATTATCATCCTTTTTCGATCTCAGTTCCGACTTCGCCACAAGGCCCCCTAAAGATTGACCGTGTTTTCAACTATGTTGGGACTGGCTGGTTGAAACGCGCTGTCTTTTAGCAAACGACCCCAAAACGATCTGTCCTAACTAATAAATGTGGAGGGAAGATTTATGAAAACAAGAACGTGCGCAGTAACCTCTTATGTGTTTTCTGGTTTTGCGGTATGAATTTCCGTCTTGCCATCCTTTTACGGGATTGAAAATACGACTATGAGCTTGGCAGGACTATCACCGTTAACTTACTTTCTTTTAGTTCCACATCGGTGAATGCAAATTCAAATAACGAATGATAAACGAATATTTACTAGGCGTTAAACCATTTTTGCAGACTGGTACTTGAGACTTTGTACAACCTTTCTGACGTGTGCTACTACTCAACAAAGCTGATCCCTGAAAGAAATAATTTAAATTGAAAATACCGATTCAGAGGGATGACACTCAATAGGCGTTTTACGTTAGCATAAGCGTCAGCTGAAACAACACCAATGCCCCTAACATCTGTTGAATTCAACCAGTTACGGTGACAAGCGACTGGAATCTGTTGAAAAGTCTCTGTAGTGATGGATTATATCATAAGTTCGTCTTGCCATTAGATGGTCTTGCTGGTATTTTCTCATTTTACTTGCCTTCGAAGTTGTTGCTGATAGCTATCATGGCTGTCTGGAGTCGTTGTCGAAGACTTCCCTGTCTCAAGGTCATTGACCCCTTGTAGTTTGCCATTCCAGACGCACTGGCCTGAGGCCACTCGACCGACTTCTGCTCGGACACCCCTGCGTCCACACATTCGCAATCGTCCAGGTGGCCACTTGAACGTACCTCCCTCCTGCAATCATAACATAAGCCACTCAAACACTACCCTTTGCGAACTCCGCATACCAATTGTACACACATTTGGATTGTTTCACAAACGCACAAAGAGGCTGCTGCCACTGTCTCGGACTCTTAGGCATGATTGAACCCAATCAACACCAGCCCTGGTTCCGCTAGAGACCAGATAAGGACAACTGGAGGTTCTATATACTCTAAACTTTTCCTTCTGATGACTTTCTCCCTTTTATCAAAATTAGAAATTTGGCCTAAAGATTGTAGGGCACAGAGTGTAGCGGGCAGCCAGCGTGACCGGTCTGGTGTCATTGTTCAAGACCTCACTGCCCAAGGTAATTTACCCCTTGGAGCGAGCCATCCCAGACGAGCCGACCTGAAGCCCCTCGACCGACTTCAGCTTGGACACAATTGCGTCCAAACAGCGTCGCGGCTACCCATGGGCCACTTGAACGCGCCACCCCTGCAACCAGCAAAACAAGCCACTGGGACACCACCCCTCGGTAAATGCGACACACTGAATGGACACCGCTTGAGCTTGGCCCACGAGCCTACAAAAGCGACTGCCACCACTGTCTCAGGGACTCTCAGGCATGACTGGACTCAGCCAACACCAGCCCTGGCTTCGCCAGTGGCCACTGCCGCCTGAGAGGGCAACTCCGGGTTCTGTATACATTAAAACCCTATTATTGTGCCTTCCGTCTTCTCCTTCCAACATTGGATTCGATTTGGTGGTTGCAGCGCTCAGAGCCCTTACTATCGCCGCATGGTCACAACAAGAGTGCGCATCCTCACCGACAAGCCTCTACAGAGTCATGCCCCTATTAAGAAGAAACCGAAGTTAAAACATTAGTAGGGATGCATTCTAAGGGTTTTCAAACGTGTAAAATGCATGTGTATCGAGTGAGGAGAATGTTGGTAAAAAGTCGGTGTGAAAAACAAATGGGAGTGGCTAATTGGTACTGAATTTCGATTAGTCACGTACAATATCAGCTCGCTAACTCCAATGAGGATGTAGGTGGAGGAACAATCTGTTTATTCCCATTTCACTTGTGGGCGCTTCCGGGACGGGATTTCATGCGCCGTCGCTGAACAGAACGCTCAAATTATTTTGTGGCCTTTAACGCTAGTGATCTCGAGTGTATGCATTGTGGAGCGCGCATAATAGTTGTGCTTTCTGCGCCTCATGTTCTTGAAATGCTCTCTGGAACGTCAAAACCTCTAATCTTCCGTCGAGCCTCGGTGACTAAACAGATGAGCTGCAAAACTTCATTTAAAACAGCAGTTCCAACAGAAACTAAGACTGAATGCCGTCAGTCAGCAGTTACGGAAGAAAAAGGGAGAAACAAATCCATGCGACTGAGAGCTATTTAGGCATGCAAAAGAAGGCCAGTTAAATTTTTCAAGAGGGGCGAAACTTTCACGTATACGTTTGCCCTAATATTCCCCTCCTTGTACTACAAAAGGGGCTCTGGCTGCTCCACGTACTAGGACAAAAAAAACTCAAAAGAGGACCCTTGATCGGCTTCTTGAAAGAAAACGGTAATAGCATCAGCGTTAAAGAACACTGTGGACCGAGAATTGGAGCTACGGAGCATGCACATATACACTGAAGAGATTGTAAGTTAATGTAACAAGCAATATGATCGATCCTTGTGTGACTCAGTAGTTTGGACTGTACGGTCTCAGCTCGTACGAAAACAAGCCGGGCGAGAACACGATAGGTATTAGTGAACAACACATCAAGAAAACGCTGGAAAAGAAAACGAAAACTGGGTTCTAATAATATGTAGTCCCGAAGAAGGAGACACGATCGCCGGGACAAGAGCTTTATTAGCCTGACGTTTCGGATTCCTACTCGAATCCATCATCAGAGACAAAAGAGCAGAAACGGGTGGTTGTTGTACAAGGGGCTGCGGTATTTATAGGATGTAGTAGCCATGCTACCGCATACCTATGAACGTTCACGGCTCTCCCCTTCATCCGGGATTGTCGCACTTGGTGTGATTATTGCTTGAAGGCCGACATTCGAGTCGATAATTGCTGCAATTTCATCATGTGCGTTGGATGTTGGCGTGATGATTGTTTAACCATCTGACGCATCGACCCCGGTGTTGGGAAAAGTGTTCACCTCTGCGCTCCCCGCATGGCTTGTTACCCCGCCTAGGCGAAGTTTCAGTACGGAGTATGGAATGGGAAGATCGCTGCACTTGTTGATGGACTGAGGGCCAGTAAACCATGATTCCAGTAGCTCCCGGGTCACGCGGTTGTCATCCCTGACAAGAATTTCAGCCTCGTGGAATTTCAGTGTGTGCCGTATCTCGTCGAATGAGCCATAACTTGAGAGCTGGTGTCACTTCTCCGAAACGCTGCGGCGTGTTCGGTCACTCGCGTTCGGAGCTGTTTTCCGGTTTCTCCGACGTAGTTGCTTTGTCCGCATGAGGACCGGAAGACAGCTCCGAACGAGAATGGCCGAACACGCGGCAGCGATGCCCAGGAATGACGCCAGCTCTCAATTTGCAGCAACACCTACCGCACTTCCCTCCTCACCCACCTGAACTCTGTGTCAAGGCGGGGTCAAGAAGACCGGAGGTGGGGATGGGCGCAGGTGGATGGCAAGGCCGAGCCCGCATATTGGCAACCCACTCCACAGCCCCTGGTCCACACAACAATTGACCAGGATTTTAACCCATAACAACAACACCATGGCGGGGCAGAAGGAGGGAGATGACTGAGCAACCATGCACAAGACCTGTATACCCAGGGGAGGCGCAAGCGCACCTACCGGCAGGGGAGCAGGTGTCAGAGAACTGCCAGCGCATACCAGACTGCGGGGGCCACGGTTTCCTGATCCTGGCATAGCAGACGCTTACAGACTTTCAGGCCTTGACGGGTGATACTTGACTTTGCACTTGCCCGGGTTGTCACCCGTCAAGGCAGGGTAACCAAACATTCGCCGGCTGAGACAATATTCATAAAACACACACACTTCTCGCATGCATAAGAGCGTCACAGACCACTTAAGGCAGAGCTGTGGCAACTTGGCTCTCAGCCCACCTGTCCGCCAAACCACACAAACGCACACAACTGGACAGACTGCCTGGATTGATTTGGGACGTCGGTCAGCAGCCTTCTATGCCACGGCGCTTGGCGCACCCTGATAACCCCAGACTCGGATCTTAAATGCAACAGAGGGGTCGCATGGAGACGGAGTCGAGAGGCACACTTCTTACTTGCGTGGGAGGTGGCAATTGGGCGTTTTTGATGAACGATGGTGTTAGGATGTGCGAGTGCTGGTGGGGGAATATGTGGTGGTGTGCTTTAGACGGTGGTTGTCTGCCGCGGCTTTTCGTGAATGCACATGTGTCCTAATAGGCCCATGCGGCGGGTGAATGTGCGGGTGCAGTGAGAGCAGTTGAGGCGAAGGCGGCGAGTGTATGCTGGTGCTCCAACTACTGGTTCGCCAGTCTCCGTGCGATGGATTCGTAAGTGACCGGTCAGGCCGAGTTGTGAAGTGAGTGTGCGATCACAATGAGGGCGAGTATGAATCGAGTCCACATCTCTGGAGATTGGGCATGTTGGTGATGTTTGAAGC